TATGCTCGCATCGTTTCAGCGTGCTCCAAATTTTATTGCTCTTCTGAAGGTATTTTGCTTCCACTTCTTCGAACACCTGTGGGCTCCAAATGCATTTCCGATGTAAGAATAAGTTAATGGAACATAGCTCTTGGTTTAGCTAGTATTTTTTGTTGACGTATGGATCGTTTTGGGGTTTGTGCAACAAAATGTGGTGCAATGCTATGATTCATGCAGGATGTTTATCCTATTTGGAAGTTCATGGATCTGGAATCAATTGAGAAATGCTTTGTATACTGGCTTCAGCATTGTTTCTCCTGATCTACTTGCAGAAACCTATTATGGACAGGCTTGGACAAGCCTATGACAGTTCTGCAAAGGTGAGAATGTAGTGATCATTATGAAGTCATTGGCTAGTATTGCCTATCACACAGTTTAAAGTTGCAACCTTTTTTCCCTCTTCTGCCTTCACTTTTCACCTACAGCAATTTTGTTTGCTTTTACAGACAGAACTAGCATTACAATTGTGTTGGGCGATTGGTGAACATGGCGGCGGTGGTACATCTCACAGAGATGCTGCACGCGAGCTATTTGAGAATCTAGAGCTACTTCTCTATGAAAACTTGTCATCTAGGTGCGTTACCATTGAAGATTCTATGTTATCTCTTACTTTTTTTATATATATATGGCCATTGCTGACTCAATTAGTTGCTGCACTCAAAAGCCGGCTTGGCTTAAGGGAATCCGCACTTGGATCAGACAGCGAAAACTTCAGAAAGTCATCACAGTCCCGGCTTCTGTGTTTCGTTATAACAGCTATCGCAAAGCTGGCCACACATCACCATGAGTTGTTACCAAGAGCCCGTGTGTCCTTAGGCAAGGCACGTTCCAGCTGAATTTCCAGCATTTGACAGCTTCTCATCAAAATAATTATCGTAATCCGAAGCAACATTTGCTTGCAGGTCGCTAGATCTCGCATCTCAGATGTGAGGGTTTGGAGGCGTGCACGAGATTACCTGGGTTTGATCGATGATCCTGCAATATCCTTGTCCGTCTTGGGGCCTTCCCAGGGGCGCGTGCAAAAACCAGGAACTGTGAATTGGAGTGATGGCGGCACCAAGATGATTGCACATATCCCCTTCTACCTTCTCGGAGAACAGGAAGGTGCAGTTTCCTCAACCACCACCAACCTCTGGTTTTGTCTCCTGGAGTTCATTGATCAGTATTATCTTGCTTACTTCTGATTTAGTCCTGGTATAATATGTGGCTCAACAAAGCAACCGTTTGTGATGGATGAACTTTTTACTTGCAGGTTCCCCCTTCCACGACTTCTCCTTTTCTGATATCTTCCCGAGAACATGATGACTCTGCTGCCTCAGCTCGTCGAAGAAAGAGAAGCATTTTCGATGGCGTCTCTGTTGTTCGAAACTTGTTAGTTTTAGATTGCGAGTCGATGTGATCTGGGTTTTCCCGTGTAGCGAAAGTGTTGACACCGATAGTTTCATCTACTGCTCTCCGAAATTAGCCACGACGATCGAGAGGCATCGTGAGAGGGGACGAGTATAACGATCAATTCGTTCACGTATTAGATGTTAACCTCGCATGTGAAACAATCACTACGATTGAATCATCCACGATCACAAGCTAGTAATATTGTGTGTAAAATGAGATATGGAAAAGAAAATTATTGAAGCATATATACGTCGATCTTGTATTTTCTACATGTAACAAGAACTACGTAGTAGATGTATGATTATACGCTAGGTGGTCATATACGTAGATATAATCCAGCCAAAAGCTCGAAGGTATCTGATGATGCTACGTTGAAGCATGGAAGGAAAGGTTCACGGCACATGCGGCGGCGGAGGTCCACCGTGACCTCCGTGAGGAGGAGGGGGAGGAAGAGGACGTGGAGCTGGTTGATTAGGAGGCGGTAGTACTGGTGGCGGCGGTGGTGCGAGATGATCATGGAATTCTGGCCGCGGTGGCGGTGGAGGAGGAGGCTGTCCATGAAGTGGAGCCGGTGGCGGCGGGGAAGAGCGTCGATGGTTATGCATATTTGGTGGTGGTGATGGATGAGTTGAAAAACCTGCCGGCGTCCAAAATATAAATAGAAATGCAGACCTGACCTGACCTTCATAACTACAAGTCGCATTATACAGGTGGTTGAACAATGAAGATGAGGATGATGCATTTTTGGTGGATTCATCCAACCTGCTTGTCAAACTAGTACTACTTCATCTTTCATTTTGTTAGACTTGTAGGTGGTACAACACCACTATACTACTTCTTCGATCTAAGGTGCGTGTTTGTTCTAGATCGGGGTAGCTAGTATTGTCGACGATCGCAGTAAAGCTCGATGCGCGACTCGCGCCATTGGTTGCCCCCGGAGCTACTAGAACAGATTGCACCAGAAATTGAATTTTCTCCAGCAAGAGTAGTTATGATACTGTCGAAACATTGTTTCTAGGATCATAAAAATTAGTGACCATAACCGAATTTACACACGATTTCAGTTTCCTTTTTAAGGATTAATCCAATCTATGAGATTAATTTATCAACAACAACGCCTCTTCCGCCAGTTACATAGTCCATCAGCTCACCAGAATTGGTAACCACAGTTTCAATGGCCTTGTCTTCAATTCTGTCGCGCGCGGTATCGTACGATTACCACTATATATATATGAACGCACACAACCTCACCAATGTACCACATCAAGATCTCAAGCATAAGAGGAGGAGAAAAGCTTAAAGGTTGATATCAGAATGGTGCCTGCAGAAGATGAGAAAGCTCTGGTTTCTGAGTGGTACTGGTACTACTATTGGTGGTGGAACATCCCATGAAGAAGAAGACAAAATAGTTATAAGTGAAAATGTCTCTGCTGGTTGAGGAATACAATAATGAGACTATGAAACAATAATTTTATAATTTTCATTGGTAATAAAGGGCATAAATATTCGTCTGGTTGTTTTTTGAATTATGTCTCTACCTTCTCTTTTTTTTTTTTTTTTTTTTTTTTTGTTAAGAAGATTAATTATATGTTTGATTGAATTGTTAAGATCTCCTGCGCCAAGTAAAAGACCTTTTTCTCTATATTGGGACCTGTAAATTTTATTAATAAGAATTGGTTACTACGACTTCTCGTTTCAGCTGATCAATCAAGAAAATTTGTGATTGTTAGTGAAAAATGTCATCAAATACTATAAAATTAAGTGTTACGACAAACATTGTAGTTCTTTTTCCGAACAAGAGATTATCCTTGTTGTTATGACTTCCTATGGCACGAGAAAAGGATGCTAGCTCATACTACTACAACGTGTCCAACACGTTGTAGTGAATCCATAGGGATGACGGTGCACATTACTAGAGAATGAGCATTTACTAGGCTCGTGTGGTTGGCAGCAATGTAGTGGAAATTGCGTTATGAAGTTTAGAAAGCGTTAACAAAAAATGCTTATACTCAGAATCCTGCTTTTTCCTTATTACTGTTGTAGATAAAATCGCGGTTTAAAATTTAACAACTTACGTTTTTACGCTTCTAGATCACCAAAATACTTTTACATAGTATCGCGCTTTCCATCAAGCATTGTTAGATGAAGTTGATGCTATATTCTTCTAGGACAATATGAGGAATTAGGTGTGACACTACCTTGCCGGAAAACCCAGGGTACGAAGGGGCCTAATAGATAATAGAAGACAACATTGTATACATTACAACGTTAATATATTTGTATGCTCTAGTTTTTCATATATTAAACATTTTGAATCCAACTAATATTTTCGATCTATAATTTTGTGGCTTCAACTATCCATTAAAGTTACGAAATTGGCTAAATCCGAGATTTGACCGTTATCTCTGACAGTCAAACGCGTTGACTAATGGTCAACGCGCAACGTCACTGTAAAGTCAGCACAAACCACAAGAAGAAAAGAAAAACAAAATAAATTTAATGGTAATAGGTGGAAAAACTAAAATTTTAAAGTGGTATGTGGTGACTTCGCAGTGACGTGGCGCGTTGACCGTTCAATATAAAGGTCAAATCTCAGATATAGCCAATTTCGTAACTTTGATGCATAGTTGAGGCCACAAAATTATAGATCGAAAAGATTGACGAGGATGTTTAATATGTGAAAAGTTGGAGTCATACAAATATATTAACCCTACATTAAAAGGCTCTACCTAGAGGGTGGGTGAGTGAACCGCCTAATTAATACCAACGAGTCAAATCTCCTTGTGCTTACCTCATAGCAACAACAGAGAGTGGGCTAAATTATTAGCAGGAGTAGAACCTACAGCACTTAAGAAGTTGCATCCTTTCGAATAAGAGCTGCCTAATTCATGAATATTTTCACGAGGGTACAAAGGTTGTTCGTGAACAAACCTGCTATGACGATATAGACACAAGAAAAAAAGGAATAGACTAGAGTCTAGATGTGAGAATTTTGTATACAATCCAATCTATCCATTTAAATATCCAATTAATGTAATTAATTTGATTCAAATCCAATTAGATGGATTGTTGATAAAATTAAAATTCAGTACCTATATTTTATTTATTTACAATTTGACACCTGAAATTTAGTTTTTGAAGAAATTATCATTGGAAAATTACGTTTTGGTACCTGAAATATTTATTATGACATTTTAGTACCCGGACTTTTCAAAATTTACATACTGGTCCAATATTTAGATGTCATTTGAATTCATGATTCAATCCATGACTCCATTTGATCCACGGATCCATCAATCTATGAATCCAATCTATCTGTCACCTCTATACGGGACCAACCCTACAAAGCATTCTATCCAACACTCTCCCTATTCGACCTTTACATGGAGAATAGTTAGAGGGTAGGCTATCAATTCATCAAGGTCCCCGAGAGCCAAAATGTTAATGCCTTTTCACATTTCTACCTATATTTTGTTAAATAAAACACGGTCTAACCATACCATTTACTAAATCCGCACTGCAACATTAACCGGTTTGACAGGTAGGCTACCAATTCATCAAGCTCCAAAAGACAAAAATATAAAAAAAACATACGAAGAAGGTTAGAGTGGATGGCACAATTCGTATTCATGGAAATAATTTAAAAACACATTTCCATGAAAATGACGAATTTCCATTTTTCTCATCGTACTCCGCCTCCGGCTCTCCTTTTTCGTCCTCCTCTACTTGCCAAACAGATCTATTTTCATTTTCCGCTTGTTTCTTGGGATTCCGTTTTCTCGCTCAATTCTCTCTTCCTCTCTTTCCCGGCTTCACTCTCTTCCTAGTCAGTCTCCTTCCTGCTTTTCCCCCTTTCTCCATCGCTGCAATCTGCTGCTCAAACGCTTTGGATACAGCACCCTCTCCCACTCCAGCCAGTCAGCCATGCCGGGCCTTTCGTCGAGCAGGCTGAAATCCATGGATTTCTACAGGTTTTTCTCCAAATCACTCCTCTCCTCATTTCCTTCCCGTTCCTCGTTTTTATCTCCGCGGCATTCCGGTCCTCGACGGATCTGGAATTCTTGAATTGCGCCGTCGCCGGCCGCGGTCAGAGCATTGGAACCCGGCGACAATCGCTCGCCCATTTCGTTTTCCTTTCTTTCCCAGTGCTTGATCGCTGCCTCTGGGCGTTGTTGGAGGAATGATTTCCAATTCTACTCTTGTCTCTTAGCTTGTGCTAGGCTCGCAGCCTGCAGTTGTAATTTACAGTAGATGTCTGGGTGGAGTTGGTATCCTGTTGCATAGTAACAAATGTTTGATCGAATTAGCCGTTTTCATGACTAATCGCGTCTCATCTCCGCTAGAATTCTGCAATGCTCATTGCTGAGAGAGTCTCGGTAGCCTTTTGAAGTTGCATCACTTGACGATCCTTCCTTGCTGAAGTTTTCATGTGGAAATTTTACTTGAAGCAGGAATGTTATCTAAAATGAGAATTCGTTGCTGTAGCTTATCACTTACTTTGCTTGGCTAAATGAGGGCGATGGAGAATTGCTTGTTGTCCTGCTGCTTATATTCCTGTTCTTTCTCGATTCGATTTCTTGAATCTACATGTTTATTCATGCTCTTCTTCTTCTTCTTTTAATGTTTGATTCTGGTGTACAGGAAAATACCTAGAGATTTGACTGAAGCATCGTTATCGGGTGCCGGATTATCCATAGTAGCTGCACTGGCCATGGTTTTCCTGTTTGGAATGGTAAGCTACTCCTGCGTCTTTAGCAGGCATTAAGGTTGTCAGCATGCAAATCATCATTAGCTATATCATTTAATGAGTGAGCACCCACAGAAGTCGGTCATGGGACTGTTTTTTTTCTTTTTGGTAGATTTGTTTTGCTGGTATGTTGATCTAACATGTTGGTCATTTACAGGAGCTGAGTAACTATCTAGCAGTGAACACATCTACTTCTGTGATTGTCGACAATAGTAGTGATGGCGAATTTTTACGCATTGAGTTTAATATCAGGTAAATGAATCATATAAAATTAGGCCTGTCTTCTCTTAATAGTGCTGTCTTTTGTACAAGGTTCTGTGCATTAGCATGTAAGGACATGTTATTTTGCTTAATGCTGTTAATTGCACTGTTAATTGTTCATTCATCAATAATTAAATTAATATTCGGAGTTTTAACTTGTTCCTGTGATGCCTCAAGGCTTTAAAAGATCAGCGACTTAAAATGTGTTCCCCGATGGACGGAATGCCATTTTTAATGTGAGACCAGAATTACAAAAATAAAAAATAAAAGACTATTGCAAGATCTCTTGTTTACATGTGATGTCGTCCTTTTGGATCAGTGAAACCTCAATTTCTCTTGGTTGTTTGTTTGTTTCTTTTCTCTCATTTCCCCTTAATGTAGGCTATGAGCAAGGAGCAAGCTTGTTAATTTAGAAATAGAATCTCGATTGTCTGTTTCAGTTCTGTGTAACTTGTACTCTGAAGCTTCTTTTTATCTTTTGTTAAATTCTGGACTAACATTTGTCGAATTTCTGTAGCTTTCCAGCCCTCTCATGTGAATTTGCAGCAGTTGACGTGAGCGACGTGTTAGGAACTGTAAGTTTATGATTGATACATCGTTGTATTATATTTCCTGAGAGGAGAAATGCCAATATTTCCAATTACCACTATAGTGTCTGGTAATTTTGGTCAAAGATGCATGTCTGAAGATTAAAGCATCAAGAATGTTTGTTTTTCCCCTAAGTTTGTAAATCTCATCTAACATGAAATCCAAATTTAGTTGTGCAACCTTTCTTTTGACAGTTCGCTGATTGTTAAATTATTACAAACTAATTGAATGGAAGTTGTTGAATGTGTTGGCTCCTTATGTCTTATGTCATTGTTCTTGATCTTAGCCCTTGCCTGAGTTGTACAAACTTTAGCTTGTTATTGTCATCTCTTCTCATAGGAGACCTGCCTGACTCTTTCAAGCTCTTGTATTCAGAACAGGTTAAACATTACAAAAACTGTCAGAAAATTCTCTATAGATCACGATCTAAGGCCCACTGGCGCTGAGTTTCACTCTGGCTCTACTATGCATCTCATTAAGCATGATGAGTATGTTGGTGAACATGAGGGTGAGAGTTCTGTGACACTCAATGCTCGGAATTTTGATGTTTTCTCAAAGCAGTAAGTAGTCCATTGATTTAAGGTTACTGTTGTGAATATATTTCATGCTTGGTGGTTCAACTGACACAATCCTTTTCCAACTTGTCAATTTTCTTTTGGTTCCAGGTTTCCGATATTGGTTGTCAATTTCTATGCTCCTTGGTGCTACTGGAGCAATCGCTTGGTAGAATCCTACTTTATTCATGATAAATTCCTACTACAATTTTGAATTCTCGTTTCTTCTTGTTGTGAAAGAATTAAGTTAACCTTGAACCATAATGTGCTTCTTGTTGGCTGCCACTTCTGGGGTTCTAACTTCAGCTCTTACTCATTTCAGAAACCTTCTTGGGAGAAGGCAGCTAAAACTATGGCGGAAAGGTTTTCAATCACATCTTATTGTTGTTTAAAATTTTATTGTTTCATTTTTTTTAACCGTGATTTCTTGAGGAGATATAAAGGTATCAGGTTCACTCATTGCTCTCATTTTTAATAGATACGACCCTGAAACTGATGGACGCATCATTTTGGCCAAAGTGGATTGCACCGAAGAAGGTGAATTATGTAGGAGGTACTGAATGTGTTCTACATAACTAGAATGAAAGTTTTCTGATCTTAGGGATATAAAGTTCTCGCTAATCTGTGTATCCATTATCTCCCAATTATTTCTTGAAGGAAAAGAAAAATAATAAGAAAGAATGAAATCTTTTCGGAAGCTGTGTCTTTTGAGCTTAAAGTTGAAGCAGTGATTTAGTATTGGTAGCATGTTTATCATTTATAAGTAATTTATTCCGTTTGTCCTTTTATCTCAGGCATCACATCCAAGGGTATCCCTCCATTCGTATTTTTCGTAAGGGAAGTGATTTGAGGTAACATTTTGTATCTTTTCATCTGTGTACGTTCTCTTGGTGTGCTCCATAAGATGCAAGGGCCAGAGCTCATTGCAGTTTTTGATGATTTAGCTTTCAGCGTTCATCCCTTCATGTTGATTCTTCTTTACGACCCGGCTCACATGTGACTCATTTCACCGTGACAGGGATGAACATGGACACCATGAGCATGAGTCCTACTATGGGGATCGTGATACCGACACCTTGGTGCAGGTATTGCGGCACTTTGTTTTTTTCATACTGTAACAGTGAACAGATGTGCTCTTAGCCAAGTCCCTAATGTATTTGTGTACTTTTTTTCTTAGTAGTAGAAACTTAACCGAGCCTGATATGTACTTGTTACTTTTGTACAGACTATGGAAACTCTTGTTGCACCTATTCCAGCTTTACATCACAAGCTCGACAATTCAACTCAGAGCATCAAACGACCTGCACCCTCAACTGGAGGATGTAGAGTTGAGGGATATGTGCGTGTTAAAAAGGTACCCTTTCTTGCAGAAGTATCATAATGCAGTTCTCTTTAACTGTCTAACTTGTGGTGTATTTATGGAGATACAGAAATTCATCATACCTCTTGTTTATTGATACACTCTGAGATGTAGAGTTGATTTATTCATATGATCTTTTTGCAGGTTCCTGGGAACCTCATCATTTCAGCTCGTTCAGGATCCCATTCTTTTGATACTTCTCTAATGAACATGTCACACGTTGTCTCCCATCTCTCGTTTGGCTTGAAATTTGCACCCAAGGCGCTGGTTGACGCCAAGCGATTGATGCCATATATTGGTCGAAGTCATGACCGGCTGAATGGGCGGGCATTTGTTAATCAGCGCGACGTAGGTGCTAATGTCACTGTAAGTTAGCTTGCTCGCAACTCTTATGAGATTGATCCTTCACTGCATATCTCAGTTTCTCTGTTGTATTTCCGTGCTATATCAGTCACAAGAACTCTTCCTGTGGAAGAGTGTATGCCTTTCGTTGCCTGCAAGCAAATTAGATAGTGTCTCTTCGCATGCAGAAGCTGTCGCTCATATAACTTCACAATAATCAGTCATGGCAAATACTCTCCTGTTGATTCCATGTGTCATTACTCATAACCATTGGTATTTTTGTTTTCTTTTGCAATTTTCAGATAGAGCATTATCTCCAAGTCGTTAAAACAGAGGTGGTATCAAGAAGAGGATCTCGTGATCACACGATAATAGAAGAGTACGAGTATACAGCCCACAGCAGTTTGGCGGAGAGCGTGGATATACCTGTTGCGAAATTCCATTTTGAGCTCTCCCCTATGCAGGTATAGTGACAAACCTACTGTCTTGAACTTGTGGGAAAAAAGGAAATCAGACCATCCCACCATATAGTTCTTAATTAATTCCTATTTCAAATTTCAATTATAAAAAGAGGAATGGCTGGATCCTTCTTATAGGTCCAGAAATGTTCATCGTTTTGACTCTTGACCCATCCCTTTTGCCATCAGGTTCTGATCACTGAACTTCCGAAGTCATTTTCACATTTTATCACCAATGTGTGCGCCATAATCGGTGGGATATTCACGGTTGGTGCTCGTGCATCTCTTGGTTCAGTTCTTTCCTAGTCTTACTCACGTTACAAGATCTCCAATCTTAAATGCAAACCCTCTTGATTTCAGGTCGCTGGAATATTGGATTCGTTACTGCACAACACAATCAGGCTAGTGAAGAAAGTGGAGCTAGGCAAGAATTTTTGATAGAGAGGAAGAGATGACATGAAACATTATGTTAGTTTTCATGTAAAGATTTCAAAGTTTTGAATCACAGGGTTTATTAAATTAGCATTAGCAAGCAAGAACAGGATAGAACAGTTATTTATGGGACACTTCCATAATATACACCATGAAGCACGTTCAGTGCCTATCCTCTCTGTGCCGCGCCCTTATCGTGCTCTGGTTTAGTTACGGTGCTTGTGATCTTCATCCATTTCTGCATTGGTGTTTGGAGTAATGACCGGAAAATAGATGGTCGAAGAATCTTTTGATTCTTTGTTAACTCATCAGCTTTGCCATTGGAAGTCCTCTGTAATACGTTTTCCGATTTTCGAAGTCGGAAACACGAAGCCTATGGATTGTGGCTGTCGATTTCAGACTTGAGACCGAGATCTTCTCGCTGGAGCCTTGTTAAGGAAGAAACGTCGTTGAAATGCAGAAGGTATGTTTTAGAACACTCTTCTCTTTCAGTTATTTTTCCTTTTCTTTACAAACATGCTCTTGAAATACACACCAGTTTGGTTCATAACCTTATTGCCATCTCCACGACAAACAAATACTGAAACACCAAACAATGAAAAACATCTCTGATACAAGAAGGATAACAAAAGTGTGGGTAAAAAAGGAAACAAGAAGTTATGAATGTTAAGCAACCACGAAAGCGAACTCGGTCCGTTGAACCAATAATCAGAATCCGAGCACGAGGGACGAGGCCAAGAAAGCTCCGACTGAACCGACGATCCCTGCTGCAGCAGCCATGGAAGACGATGCTCCATTGTTGGGCGACTCGCCTTCAGGAGACTGTGCAGGGGTGAGCTGAACTATCCCGGGAGGAGGTGACTGATCCATGGCCGGTGCAGGCGATGGTGACTGAGGAGATGGCGGGGAAGCAGCAGGTGCAGTTCCATTCTTGCTCCTGTCGGCCAGAACGACCACGACGACCTTCTCGTTGTTCAGGCAGTTGTCCCTGTTCCCGCTGATGAAGTAGTGGGCGCCGGAGTGGTTGAAAGTGTAGAGGGTGTGGCCGTCGGAGTATGTCCCGACGGGTGAAGTCGTGGTGCAGTTGTCGTAGTCGCCCTTGCTCACTTCCAGCACGGAGTCGCGATCAGGGTTGTACATGAACACTGCACACAAATCGAATCGGCCAACGATGACGACGGAGCGATTTTCAGTTGCTTGGGGAAGAAGGAAACTTCGATGTAACCATAGAATAACAAGAGAGTGAAAAACAAACTTACAGATGGAGTCTCCAGTGGAGAACCGGTTGCGTTCTGCCCAAGAATTGTAGTTCAAGGCGGAGGAATTGTCAGGAACCGTCCAACCTTTGGCGCCACCGACAGTGAACTGGAATGCACTAGCTTGTTGGAGCGACAGCAGCATGAGACAGGAGAGTCCCAGCATGCTGCCAACCGCCCTGTTTCGGCCGATTTTCGATCCCGGGTTCGTTCCTACCATTGATGGCAAAGTGGTATGGTGTTATGTGTGTTTTGGTGTGGAGGTAAGTAGCACTAAGAAGGAGGATTTTGAGAATGGCATGGAGCTGAGATGGGGGTTTTGTAGGATGAGTTTTGAGGCCAACTTTACAGTATCTGTGGCATTGAAGCTTTTGCATGCTTTTAACGCTCTGTTCTCTCTTTAGCTGTGGATTTCTTGGCTTCTGGTGCAAAGTATATGTTCGTTCCTATTTGTTGTTTTGGATTACTTTTTTGTGCAGGAGATGACTTGGGCTGCAGGTTAATACTTTGCCCTTGACCATTTGTCAAGAATATTCAATCCTTGTGGTTTGAGCTAAACTGTTATTCAACAACCAATGAGAGCCTTTCCCGCGCAATCTATTTGATGCCCATCTCTTTACACTTCACATACAATCACAAACACTCAAATAGACAAGCATAAGGTGTACATATACACTACAACACCCGAACTATAAAAAATGTCACTTGTATTGTATTTTTTTTATATGATAATCCTATCTAGTCGTAGTGATATTTTTGTGTCGTTTGTATCCTGCCACTTTCGTTGATTGTTAGATTACTTCTACTCCTATGTAGGTTAAGTGAGAGCTCCGAACTACGACTATGGCTACTTGTAAAGAAAAAAGATAAAAACTTGATGCATACGGCAGTTATCTGGATTTGAAAACCCTTGTCCATATCGACCCCTCCTCCTATTTATAAACATTGAGAGGTTATCGTCGTAGAAATTTCTTTGTCGGATAACTCCCAAAAAAGTTCCGCTCCCTTCTTTCTTGGACATGACTGACGTGTCTTTTGAACGTATGATGAGTAGCAATTCCCCTCTCAACCGCCTAGGTACCTTTCCTGAATGCATCACAAGTCTTGGAGTGTAGCTTGTTCGCCTGGTTTTGTTCCAAATCCCACACCCTTTTGATCTTGAGTCATGCCAACCATGTGATGAGGTCGTGGCCGTTTCGCGAAGGGGTCGTGGTCCTCTCCTGACGCATTCGTGTGATTATCTTCTCACGACCACATGGTCGCGGGGCTCTGGGTTGCGTGGTCGTCTACTCACTACCATATGGTTACCTCCTTGGATTAAAAAATCTAATATTACGAGGCCAACTTAAATAACATCAATTTTGATGATTAAGTTGTCCTTGTAAATCATCTATGTGGTACAAGATAATTTTTAGAAGTAATCAACCGAAAAATTTTAATCACAAGATATGTTATGTTGAAACTTTGATTTAATCATGGTTCAATCATATCATACCACTAAAAATCACCTACTGATACCCTTAAAAAACCCTAAAAAAAATCACCTACTGATTTAGACTCGACCCTCAGGTATGAGATTTTTCCTCTTGAACAGTTGATTCCGTTTCTTTATACAATATAAAGTCCAAAGTGCAAGATTTTAACTTTCACAAAAATTTGACTACTTGAGGACTTATAGAAGTGAAATTGAGGTCACAAACTCACAATCCTCTGCTTAAAGATGCAAACTTTTGCATTGAGGTACACAATCCTCTATTTAAAGTCCCCGCCATGACATATATTGATCTCCCTAATCCTCCTCATCTTTCTCTCTCCCTCTGTTTCCCGCTAAACTTTGACCGCCATGGCCAAAACTGTAAACAGAACCCACGATCACGCGCCATCCTCGCTGTTTCAGAAAATATAAAGACACCAACAGACAAATGGCCAACCCCCAGCCAGCCAATTCCCCCCTGTAGTCAGTCAACACATATTCCTTGCCAAAAGGGTAACTAAAATTGAATTGAATTGAAATCATTTCAGTTCACCTGAAAAAAATTTGAATAATTGAGAGAACAGAGTCACCTTGTTCTAAAAAGGGAATAGGGATTTGAGGTAATTAGTAAAAGAGGACGAGAAGCAACGATCAACTACCCTAACGAAAAATAACCAGAAGAAAATAGAAAGAAAACAACAAAAAAAAACCTCTAAAAAGGAATAAAACCGATCAGAAAAAGGGTGGGAGAAAAAAACAAAAATAGGAAATTCCCGGCTGTTGGTTTTGGGTTTGTCGTTGTTCTCGCCCAGTCCGTCCATCTTCTAGCATTGAACTTGTCGTGGTCGTCTCTCCTCTTGTCTCCTTTTGATTCTGGCGGTGTTATTGTTTGCGGGAATTATGATGGGTTTTCTCTTCTGAATCATTTTTCTGTGCATTGGAAATTCCTAGCTCCATCTCCATCTCTTTGCTTGAAGAGCTGTCTTAATAGCTTCTGCTTTGCTGGGTCTTTGATTCCTTCTTTCTTTTGATCCCTTTTTTCCCTCTTCGTCAACTTTGCTGCCAAGGAGAAAAGCTCCTTCCTTTCCCCTTTTCCCCCTCTTTCTTTACCTTCTTTTACTCCTACAGTTTCTTGGGTGTTTGTAAATGTGGAGCTCTGGAGAGCCCGCGGATTCTTACTACGAGGTCCGCCCGGAGTGTACGGATGTTCCTAAAACCCGCTTCAAAATCAAGGTCTGTTCTCTTCTTTCTTTCTTCACGTTCAAGATCGTTTCTTTTTTGTCAATTTGATCTCTGCATTGTTTGATCCCATATCCAGCAGATCCTTTTTCGTTAATTTTGGATCACTGTTCTGCAATTCGATTGCAATGTGTCAGTTTTGGTATACCTAAAGTACCCATTTTGCTCTTTTGCTTGGATATGTATGATCCGAAGAAATATCTGTTTATTTGGGCATTATGAGATCGAAGTTGAAAATGGCAGGGAGCCTTCTACCTGTGTAATTTGTTCAAGAATCGTCATGAATGAGCAATGGCAATACTATTGTAGAAAGTTCTCGGATCGTGTATGATTGGTTTATTGGTTCCCGACGCCACTTCTTTTCCTTGAGCGTTATCATTTATCTTTTGGTGATGGGTTAATGATGTGCTCACCTTGATGTTCAATCTTTCTGCAGCCTGGTAAGACTCTGAGTGTCAGAAAATGGCAGGCTGCATTTACTCCAGAAGGCCACCTGGATATAAGCAAGACATTAGGTCGAATTCAACGTGGGGTAGGTGTATCTTTCCTTCAAAGGGGAGCTTATTAGTTGGTCCAGAATGTTAAGGGTTGGAGACTTAGAGTGGATTTGTTTTCTCTCTTGCTTGTTCAGGGGATTCATCCGTCAATTAGAGGAGAAGTGTGGGAATTTCTACTTGGTTGTTATGATCCTAAGAGTACATTTGAAGAACGAGATGAGATTCGACAGCGTAGAAGGTAACATCTTCTGATTATGTTTCAGGAATTAGACATGGTGGAAATTTGACTGATGTAGGATATTAGAGACATCCTGTCTGCTGTGCTTGTATCTAAGGCGTCAAATACGTTTATGTTAATAACATTCATGTCATGGTTGATTGGAGATTTCCATCGTGCCACCTCGACAACTCTTGTTGAAAGCAAAGCTGCTCCAACTTTATTACTCTGCAATAAGATTACTTACATTTTGTTTATTTTTGGCTTTGACCTTCCCCTGGTGTTCTATGACATGCAAAGCTGCTAGCTTCCATTACCATATCGTTGCATCTATTTTCTTTTCACTTGAATGATGTGGCTAGCCATATTGGTTTTTTCAAAAGAAGTTCAAATTTTCCCTTCTGTGGACCTAAGGAGATACTTACTAGTCCACTTCTGCTACAATCTAGGGTTGAATATGCTAGCTGGAAGGAGGAATGTCGGGAAAAATTTCCAATCGTCGGCAGTGGCAAGTTTATTACAGCACCTGTAATCACCGAAGATGGTCAGTCTGTTCAGGAGCCATTGTATCTTTTAGAAGCAGGTAATAATGCTGCAGCTGAACCTCCTAAGGATAGGGATGCTGCTGAGACTGGTGAGACCGGTGAAACTGATGATACTGGTGAAGCTGGTGAAGAGGGTAAAGCTGGTGAAGCTGGTGAAGAGGGTGAAGCTGGTGAACCTGCCAGTACAGCTGTAGTCGGTGAAACTGTTGCTAACGGTGAAACTCAATCAAGTATAAATATTTCCAGTTGGCAAATGATGAAAGAGATTATCAGTCATGGCCCTCTGGATAAGAAAGTCATCCAGTGGATTCTTACCTTGCATCAAATAGGTCAGCTATTGTTGAATGAGTAATTTTTTCCTTTGTTCAAGTTTTACTCTGATTACCAGTCTTTGTTTATGAATGCAATGCTATTGTACTGTAATTCATGTGCAAAATAAAAATATGTAGTGCCTCTACTTTGGACTTAACATTGCTGGTGCATTATTGGACTGGGAGTTGCCTGTGTTCATGCCTTAACCATTTTTGCTTATTCTTTCTTATGGGACTCGGCTGCCCGAGTTAAGGGTATTGATGCCTTATTTCTTGGCTTGTTGTATAATGGCTTAATAATACTATAGTCGTGTCCAATGTATCTCCACTTGCCCTTGAAAACAATGTGAACTTTACTTTGCTTGGTTCTTGCAGGTTTGGACGTGATTCGCACTGACCGAACATTGGTTTTTTATGAGAAGCAAGAGAATTTGTCAAAATTATGGGATATCCTAGCTGTCTATGCTTGGATTGACACAGATGTTGGATATTGTCAAGGTTTGTCAAAAATGTTATGAGTATTGCAGAACTGAATAGATCACATGGCAGATATTCTGCTTTACTTTTTATGTATGTTGTACTGATGCTGCATCTACTAATTCCAATAATAGCTTCCACATTCGTCGAAATGGACTCTGAAATGCATTATGCATCTGTTGTCTGAAATTGCACAATTGGCAAGTTAACGTGGACCCAGTTCAAACTATTCTTGGCACTTAAACAGTCATCTATCTTAACTCGGTTGTTCATAATTTTTTTTGGAGTTTTAAGCTCTGCTGAACTTTTTGTGAATGGACTTTTGTGATGTATATGATTTTTATTCGTTATCATATGCAATTTAACCTTTCTCTCTGTGTCTGGAGGATAAGTGCTGCCAGGAAAGAGTTAGCTGGACTTTTATCACGTCAAAAAGATATACATAGTTTTTAACGTCTAAAGCTCAATTTCCTGGTACTACTGGCAGGAATGAGTGATCTTTGCTCCCCCATGATAATTCTTCTTGATGACGAAGCTGATGCATTTTGGTGCTTTGAACGTCTGATGAGAAGATTGGTACCTTCCTTTTCTTTTGCTTTTATTGATACTGTTCAGTTCTTTTTATGTAAAATGTCATCTACTACTTGTTTAATTTCTTGCTCATTTGACTGCTCCTGTTGTGCGAACGCCTTTTTGTCCAATGACTAGAAAAGTGTCTTGTTGTGGCTTTGAGTGACACTCTAGCTCCTGGCTTTGTTAGAAGTTCTGTACAAAAATTTCCACT